ATCCATTAGCTAGAAGAGGGATCTGTCTCGGAAGTTTGCCCGTCATTTGCATCATGTAGATGATTTTGTTTCAACCTTTGTGTTTTAAAGAACTATGGAGTCAAAAGATGCAAAAAAAACATTATCTTACTGTTACTTTGTTTTTTTCTTCTCTGGATTTTCTGAACAATACCCATGTGCAGAGCTGGAGGGAAAATTTCCTGCTAAGCAGAGCTTGCTTTTCTTTATGGGACAATCCTATTTCCATCAAACTCAATTACAAAGCTTCCTCTGATGTTAACGGCATAGGGCAAAGCACTGGGATACATCTTGCAACATAGAGAAGAACACACTGACATTCCTGGCAGCAATTTTTCCCAAATCAGATGCTAAGCACAGATGCAGCACTGAAAAGAAGCACACAGAAGACCAGGACACTGAAACTTTCCATTGTTGCTGCAACTTCTATCATTTATTCTTCTTGCCTGTTCACAAAAAATGAATTTAACTGCAAATGACACCTCTTTGTGTTTTAGTGGTTAAATTTAAATTCTGCAAGGGTTGCCCTGTTATATGCCCATTGTTGGATTATAAAATGATTTAATTTGCTACTTGGTGGACAGTGAGAGCATTTACGCAAGACATTTACTGCCGAGCTGCCTAATTAGTTGTGCAGTAAATGTCTCAGCATCTATAGGGTAGTACTTGTAAATACAAATACTGTTCCACTGCAGAGTTTTTTTAGAGTGCAGCACCACACATGTGGATGCTGACTGGGCTGGCTGGGGCGTGAGGGTGCTTCATTGTGGGGGCTGCCTGCTGGCTAGGCCTGCACTGAAGCACCCTCGTGCCCCAGCCACTGCCAGCCCCTCCGCAACACATTGAGCCTGGCAGGAGCAGTCCCAGGGTGGCAGGCTGGGCCCCCAAGTTACCTTGCCGGCCAGGGCTGCTTTGTTCCAGCTCACTGTGCTGCGGTCCCAAGCATACATTCAAACGGTGCACTTGGGAGCAATGAACTGTGGCACGATAAGTGCCAGAGTTTATTGATTCAAATTAATTACATGTGTAGACAGACAAGGTTCCTTGGGTGAATTTGATATCTTTTATTAGACCAACCCAAATAGTTGGAGAAAAGTTATTAAGCAAGCTTTCGGGTTCCAAAACCCTTCATTTAATAAAAGATATCAAATTCACCCAAGGAACCTTGTCTGCCTATGTCCTTAGACCAACACGGCTACAACCTAAACCCCTGTTACATGTGTAGACACACCCAGTAAGAAATATTCATTTAGGTTTCCATCTAAAGCCCATTAAAGGTCACAGAGTCCCACTGATGTTAACAAACTTCAGATCAGGCCCTTGTACTTAGATTGAGCAAGCACATGATAATTTTAAGCACAAGCACATGATAATTTTAAGCAGAGATAATCAGGCTCAGGATCCCTTATCTATTAAAAGTTCTTCATGCTCACAAAGCACAGGAAAGCATAATTAAAATCACTAAGGGCATCTTCAAGAAAACAGTGTTTTTGTTGTATTTATATAGGGCCTTAACCAGCAAAGCATTTAATCGTGCATGTAACTTTAAGTATGTGAGTAATCAAACTAAAACTGGGGCCATAGTACTCAAAATATATTAGCTTATTGGCTTTATTCTGACATATCACAACCTTTTCCTGACAGACATAATATATTTTATTATAATGTCATTCTTATAAATAAATAATACTAGTGAAGCTCTTCACTACACTCTAATTTTCTTAGTCTCAGAGTTTTTATGTCTTTCTCTGCCTCATTTCCATTAATACAATTAGTCCAATTAGTACCACTGATATAATGGGGCTTTGGTCTTGGTCACCGTACAAGAGAAGCGGGATCCTCCTTCAGTAAGGCTCAAGAACAAAGAAAAAAGAAAATCCACAAAGACACTCATATCTGTATACTGAGGAAAAAACACTACTTCAAAGAAAAGCCCTCATGAGCACTACTAGTCCTTTCTCTTTTTGTTGTCAAGGACCAACATAAATAAAGGTGTATTTAGCGCAATTAGACCTTCAAAACATATCATATGTATCAAGCACCGTGTCAGGCATCACTTGATTTCCAGATATCTTTCATATTCCTTCTCACCATGAGTCAAATCCTGTGGTCTTTACTCAGAACCTCACTTTCAAACATGGATCATTGCCTTACATAGGAAACTTGAATCCAGATTTTGACACAAGTGATGTACTTCATTCAGACACAAGTGTACTTCATTCAGCACTTAGGTGTCTAGAATCAATATGGGGGTATCAAAGTCTGGGGAAACAAGCCCAATTTTATGCACTTGGGTTAGAAAATTGGGTTCTGAGCCCTTATGAATCTCAGCTAAAGAAGGAATAAGCAGCAACTGAATAAGAACTCAAAGATTTGGGTAATAGTTTTCTGCCTGCACATAATTTTTTATTTTTTTGGTTCTATAATTAAATAAAAAATGTTGAACTGAAACTACAATTTTTGCCTGGCAACATACACTGATGTCAGAAGAAAGAGATGACTTCACTTCAGAATCAAATATAAAGGGAAAGAACCAATAGTGTGAAAGAGAAAGCTTTTGTTAAAATGCAACTATCTTCTGAGAGACCAAATTTAGCAAGAATAGCTCTTTGTGATAGCAAAGGGATGTGAGAATAAATACAGTACCACCAGAGTTTCTTTCTCCCTATAATCTGGTTTTTTTTCTAAATTGCTTGTGGCATGCACATCTTTCTTTTAATTCCCCCTATTCTCTTACCAAAGAGAGAGTGTGACAGCGCAAGAATGCTCTCTTGGGCATCATTCTCCATTCTTGTCCTACTTTGTTTGAGATGTTGGTTATTACCCAATAAAAACTCCCAGGGGTCAATTGCCAGCCTGTACCAATTACATAGCTCCATTGACTACATCTGGCAGCTTACACTGGCTGCACATCTGCCTCTAGATGTTATATGGTGGAAGAAGGAGGAGAGACACAGTTGCCCTTAAACACTTTCTATTGCCTTGGTTCACTAAATTATTCACTAAAGAATTACTTGAGCATGCATCATAGTTTCTTTACAAAATATGAAGACAGAGTCTATTTTGACATGATGATATTAATTTATTGAAAGTAACACCAGAAAGTTTTTATGGGCAACCCTTATACTTTCGATGATTAATGTTTAAATAGTTAAGAGAATTGTCTGTATAATCAATAGAGGACACGATCTTCTTTTAGATAAAAGAGACCTCTAGAATATCAACTTGAACCTTAATAAAAAAGGCACAGACAAATGTTCTTTGGTATAAATTAATGAAGTGATAATGCTCAGTATACTCTCATTTCTCTCTCTCTCATGCTCAAACCATTCACCAGACATGAAATGCATGACAGTCAGAATGAAACAATGAATGATGTCCAATGATCTCATTGTACTTGTTCAGTCATGGCACTGGCATTTTAATATGAGCTCTATACCTTATAACAATTTGATTCACTCTTTCTTGTTTGTCCACAGAAGTTTTCTCATTTAGAACTGGCCAACAATGGTAAGACATTATCCTGCTGACAGAAGCTATTCCTTTCAGTCAGTTGGGCCCCTCACCAACCAGGGTTTATACGTGCATTTGACCCAGTTAGTTTTTTTATTCGACTAAGTGACATCCAGCTCCAGAATTCAGCTGAGGAGCGCTGTCTATGTTTCCTTCTTGTTTTCATTCCCCATATTACTCATGGGGAGGAAGTGACAAAGGATTTTGACTCTGACAAAGGATTTTGACTCTGCCTAGCTGCCTATAGTAATGTCTATATATAACATAATTCTTCCCTCCCAAGTTTTAGGCTGCTTTATCTACTCCTGTACATCAGATAAATAGAACCTGGGTACTCCTTGAGCATGCTCAATGGAAACTGTATGAGCTCACTGTCAAAATCCTAGTCCCTACATATGACAATTTTCCAAGATACGTTAGATACCACTCAGTAGCTGAGATGAATGTTGGGCTTGTCTACCCACTCCCCTGTTCCTCCACTGCCTCTCCTGTTCATCACTGTTCAGGAGACTTACTCCAGCGTACTATTGAAGTAACTATTGAACTTAAACAATATTCCACATGGTTAGAGGGGAGAGCCTCAACCTGGACTGAACCTGGCATTCAGTGCCCTGAGAGATGCTCCTGTGAGCCCTCTATTTCTCCTTTGACTCCATTACTTTCCTATATGGAACGGCTTTGAAAAGTATTCTATAGCAGGGTGACTCCTTTATTGATTAGATCATCCATAAGAGGCATTAATGCTCATATCAGCTAATACAGCTTCCAGGTCATAGGCGGCTTTGACTATTGGTTGTTCAACCGGACCATCCAAAAGCTGTGTGTTTCAGAGCAGGGCCAGGCTCTAAGCATAAATAAAGCAATATGTAGTTTGGAGTCTCTGGTTTTTTAAACTCTATTGTCACATGCAGTCACTCATAAGCTAGCCCTATGTCCTTCTACAGCAATGGTCCTAGAAGGAAAGACTATTTTTGACCCAATCTTCTTACTGGAGAGAAGCAGTCCTCTAGGTAGCATGCACAACATTGACTTAGTGAGACTGAGGACAGGTCAGTTAATTTCCCTGTAACTCAGATTCCCTATTTTTAAAAGAGGGATTAGTGATACATTACTCATGCTGGTGATATTCTGAGATCTAGGAATGAAAGTTAGTACTATGTATGATTGTTGTTATCCTGACAGCTCTGGGCTCTATGTAACATAAGGCCAACCATGACTAAGAAAAGACTCAGTTCAAAAGTATTGAATTTTAATTTTAAACCTGTGATTAGTTTCCAGTACTTATATAGTGGCTGTTGTGACATTCACACTTTGAGTAACAATAAACCCTACAATGCTAGCTGAAAAGAGGGATGAACTACATGACCTTTTACTCTGTTAGAGTCATTCAACCATTGAGTTTTGATGCAATACTCATTTCAACTGCCTAGAGCAGGAAAATCCCAATGCTACATTAGATATCAAGTTCACTTTTCAATTATTTATTGTAACTTCAGCTAAACCATCATTAATGTTATCCAGCACTTGTTCGCTGGATCAGTAATGTATAGGCTTTATCAACAGCACAGTTTATTTTGAAGAGAAATGTAAGTAAGAGATGGAGAATAAAATGATAGAATAAGGATGTGTGCACAGTAATTGAGGTCCATACTCCTCCTGGGCTCTTCTAGAACAGTGTCTCCATCATACTGACACCCACTGCTCTCTTTCTTTGTCCTTATTGTTCACTGGCAGAAAATTAGAATCAGGTCTCTGTGCTTAGAGCAAAAGAAAGGTGAAGTCTGAAAAAATGACCCTAAAATATCCTCCCAGGAAAAAGAAAGGCTCCTGAAAATAAATCCTTGGGGTTCCAGCACAGACAAGTAGGAGAATTTATTTGTTTCCCAAACCATTCTAGCTTGATTAGCCCTGGAATTTATAACACTGAAATAGTGTCCTTGTAAGAACACCTTAGTGAAGGTTGTCTTTCCACACATCAGTGTCCCCCTCTCCCTGCTGCAGTGGGTGCATCCCTAGGAGTTGCACTCTTCACAGTGGCAGGAGAGGATGTAGCGGTAGGTGGCGGTAAGCCGCATGCCACCAGAGCAGCGTAATCGCATTGCCTTCAGCTTGGAGGTCTGGGGCCGGCAGCAGTGACAAGTAGAACGGAAAGGCTGCTTCAGGACTGTGCTGAAGGAGACCATTGGCTCAGAGCGTGAAGTCTGACTGCAACGACCCTCGCAGCGAGCCAGGAGCACCATCTACAAAATGAAAGAGAATAGTTAGGAAATGTCTTGCAGGTATCAAATTTACACCCAATTAGTTACTGTGCAATAACTATTACCATCAGGATTGGTGGGGAGGTGGAATGTTAAAAGGCTTCTCGTCCTGCTTGAAACTCATACAGGACTAGAAATCTTCTAACAAGTTTGGCCCATCTGATGATTTACACTAGCTATAACAACAAGAGTGATATTGAGTGCACATGAATGGATTTTTCTCTTTCAGTAACTATTGAAATAACTGACCTTGATAAAGTTCTTGTAGACATTGGACAATCAAATATTAAGTAACCTGACCTTCTGGTACCAGAAAAAGTTGGATGTGGGTGTTTGTGAGAAAGCAGCATCACTGGATTGGCACAAAGGAAAAAATAAAACCATACTGTAAAATATGACTGATGAAGGGTTTAATGGAGAGTAGTGAGAATAAAAATCTGTTTCTTTCCTAAACTGAGGAGAAGGAGACCAAGGCCTGCAGATTAGATCACTGACATTTCCTCTTTGGGGTCAGTCTGCTCAGATAAAAGGATAATGCGTCTGTTAATAAATTCTCAATATTACAGCTATTCTTTTTGCCATGCAGGAATTGACTGATGAGTCATTTTGCACATTGTACCAAGATGGTTTATGTGTGTAGTCTGCATCATGATCTGTGACTGAACATAGGATTCTGGCATTAGTATCAGATGAAATATTTCTTATTAGTTCCGTGAACTTCATCTCTCTAATGCCTTCCCTCTCAATTTTATCTAAATAAATGTGAATGTGACATGCTGCTAAGGAATCAGCACTTGACATACACATACAAATACCAGAGCTATTCAATTAACTGTACTTATGTTACATGGCTGGTTCCTAATGTTAACTGTTGTACAGTCTTTGCTGCCCAGCAGTAGTCATATATGCTAGCACTTTCTCCATTTGTTCCAAAGACAAAAGAAGACTTGTCTATCTTCAGTGAACATAATTAAAATATCATTCTTCTGCAAGCTTAAATCTAGAATGAGAATCAGAGTTCTTTCACCTCTATCTGCTTCTTTATGTATGTGGCACTTGGGGGGGGTTTAGATGACAAAAAGGTGCTTTTAAAAATGGCATAGGTAGCTAACTCCTAAGTTAGCTGATTTAGTGTGAAACCCCAATTTAAACCTCAGGCGGATACAGTATTTAATATCTGCAAAACACTGTAGAAACTTTAAAGACATTCAATATTTCCTGTATGTATATATGTGGTTTGAAGGGATGTTTCAAACACCATTATTTAACTCAAGTTAGCTAACATGGTTTTAAAATACAGCTTCTTTTGTGTTTAGCCAAAGTCCTAGCAGATTCTTGATTTCTCTCCACTGCTGTATAGCAGGTTCTTTGGAAAGGATATACATGGCTTATCTCCATCTTTATTTGTTTCTAATATGTCACATGTCCATGTCTACCCATGGCTCATCCAGTGGAGGATGTGAAGGCACAGGAAGACTTCAAAACTTTTAGGAAAACTCATTGATAAGCTTTCAAATTCAGCAGAGTTTAGATTGTAAGCAGACATTTTCAAGGAGATCTTTTCATAGACGTGGTCTATAAATATGAGAATGAGGATTGTCCATAGTATTTCTAAAGTGTGCATTTCTCATAGTTGTCCTCAAAAGCCAGCTGTAATGACAACCTGCTCTATTAACTAGAAATGTTACATCTTATCCAACCAAAAGTTTTGACCTGCTTGGGCAGTTTTGACTTTAGGACTTGAATTTCAGGAAGCTGAGGGTCAGCGTCTAAAAGCAGTCCTTAAAGCATATTAATACTGTGTGTGGACTGACTTGGGACTAACTTTAGTCCCAAGTCAGACCACACACACAGTGTTACTGCACAGTAAGGTGTCTGTGCAGTAACTAACCAGGTGTAAATTTGATATTACCCTTCTTCTATGCCACCCAGACTATTATTGCAGAAAAGGTTTTTCAGGCTGATACAACATATTTCAACTGCAAAATTACAAAATAGGCTGCATGAAGAATTGTCTTGTAAAGGATAACTGTAATGGTTGGTGACCTTTACTCATTTCTACCCCAAAAACATATCACCCGTTTCTACACCTAAACTTGCAGGTTTTGCAAAAAAGCAACATTAAACAATGGAATTGGGGAATGGGACTGGGAGATAGAATAAATGTTATGTGATACAAATACAAGGAAGAAAGTTTTGACATGTCAGTATCAGCAATTCATAGATTTCTTGTTAACAATATCTTTTTTCACAAAAATAATCAAGACTCTCTTTTTTCAATAAATCCACATTTAACTTGTATTATTGTTTACGATAGTACATTTAGCATAATGATTTAAAGACACATTGTGTCAAACTTTGTAGATTATGTTATTGCCAATTTTGCTTAGACAATTAGTTTTGTATCCGTGCATGGTTTATACTCCTAGAGATTACTACATTTTATTATTTTTTAATATTCTCTAAAACTAGGCTAAGTGGGTTTTTTTCTGGTATCCTATACTTCAGATGACAATGTAAATTTACAAGTGGCACTGTAACATGGGTATCACAGACATTTGGGGGAAGAGAAAATACTATGATCTCACCCTGACATGGCCTTTTAATCATTTAGATATACTAGAAATCATAGAAAATTAGAGCTGGAAGGGACCTCAGGAAGTCATCTAGTCCAACCTCCTGCTCAAAGCAGGACCATCCCCACCTAGATCATCCCAGCCAAAGCTTTGTCTAGCCGGATCTGGAAAACCTGCAAGGATGGAGATTCCACCACCTCTCTGGGTAACCTGTTCCAGTGTTTTACTGCCCTCCTAGTGAGACAATTCTTCCTAATATCTAACCTAAACTTCCCCTGCTGCAGCTTGAGACCATTGCTCCTTGTTCTTGCCACTACTGAGAACAGTCTAGCTCCATCCTCTTTTAAGCCCCACTTTAGGTAACTGAAGGTTGCTGTTAAACCACCTCTCACTCTTCTCTTCTCTAGACTAAATAAGCCCAATTTCCTCAGCCTGCCCTCATCAGTCATGTCCCCCAGCCCCCTCGACATTGTTGTTGTCCTCTGCTGGAATCTCTACAATTTATCTACATCTTTCCTGTAGTGGGGGGCCAACCTGAGTTTTTCAGGTTGGCCCACAAAGAACTCAGGTTATTTGGGCTAACCTGAGTTCTTCAACGTAACTTAACCTCCTCTCCGCATAAATCCAGAACAGTACCAGTATACGTTGGCAAGTGTGCAAATGAGCTGGAAATAGCATGTACTTCAAAAGCTTTGCTTTGCCATTTAATCAATTGCTGCAGCTGTTTATTGCATCGTATACTATGGTGCAATAGAGATTATCACCTAAACAATTAGTAGTGATATGATGGCATAGCACAGTAATAGAGTAAGTGTATATATAGTAAAAATATGTGGGTATTTTATAACCTGATATCCAGCCTTCCAACCCCCCCTCTTTTTCCACACAAAACCATGTACATGTCACATTGTAATGCTATTCCCGGAAGTACAGTACTATTTTCCTAATGCTATACAGGAACAATGGAGAGGATTAGGATTGCTCCTGTGTACAGTTAATGGAACAACTGAGCAACCATGGGTGCAGACAGAAGTGCAGCTCCACGCTGTAACAGAACACTTTGCAGGAAGTGCCCTGAGTTACAACAATCTCCTGGAACAAACAGAAGTTCACTTAGTTTCAGGAAGCAGGAGCTATCTAGCTGTTGTATAGGAGCCTGCAGCCAGTTTCCCTTAGTAATGACCCCTCCTCTCTCCCAGACTGTCCCTGTTTCAGAATGGAAGGGAGGAAGGGAGGAGAGGGAGCTAGTTTTAGGGGTTCCCCAGCCGGCTCTGGAGGGTGGGGTGGGTGAATTGGAGTTCACCCCCTCCCCTCCCCCCAGGTCTCCAATAAGTGCCATAAGTGTCAGTATTGTAATATTGTAATTCAGGAAGCATTGGGCACATAAGTGCATTTTAGTTAATGAACATTAAATCTAGTACCTCCATTAGTTAATGTGCATTAAGACAGGTTAATGCACAGTTTCCTAGTATCTCACAATGGGTGTCACAGATGTGTTCTGGGAGTGTGTGTGTGTGCGCGCGGGAGGGGAGGGGATGCTTTAATTAGAGTGGCTCTAAGAGCCGCTATAATTAAAGCACCCAGAGAGTCACGTGTATCAGTGATCCCACGCTGAAAAATGGCAGCAGGGTCGCTTGAACTAAAGCTCATTGAATGAGCAATGTCTCACTGAATGAGCAACATGACACTGGAGTCTGCTAGAGCTGGTAATTACCACACTCCAGCAGACTCAATTAATCTAGTCTGCTCTAGCACACTGTAATTAAAGCACATCAGAGCAGTTTTGCTGCAGGTGTATAGGTGCCCAACAGGGCTCCTATACACCTGCAGGGAGACTGCTCTGACACCTTGGAAATTCAGCACATTGGAGCAGACTTGATTAATTGAGTCTCCCGTAACACAGAAATTAATGTGCTGCAGCAGACTCTAGCATCACATGCATCAGCATCCCTGTGCTGAAAAATGGCGGTGGGCACTTTGAACTAAAGCTTGTTCAATGTGCTTTAGTTCAAATTACCCTGCTGCCTTTTTCCAGGGCAGGGACGCTGATACACATGACACTTGGGCACTTTTAATTAGCATGGCTCTCTAATTAAATCAACCCCCCAAGCCTCCCATGTAAAAATGCCTATTTAAGTGGCACTTTAATGTACATTAAAATAGGCTAATGTGTACTAAAGTGCACGTTTAAATGCTACCATTGTTTCCTGGAAAATTGAAGAGACGTTGCTTTAGAGACCAATAAGACTTAATGACAAAGATGAGATAAAACCTCAGATTGATTAGGTAATTCAATTTATTATGGGAGGAAAGAAATGTTTTCTCTGTCAAAGGAGAACTGTTTTTCAGAGAGGCATACCTTTCTGTCTCTCTGTGGTATCTTTTTTACATACTGTACAGAATATTAAGTTACTGCAGTACTCTGCATTGATTTTTCACCTCTGGAAATCTATGCTAAACATCTGGTAAGTGGGATTTGATTGATCAAATTGCATTTGGTGAAAGTGCCTAAATTAAAAAAAAAAAAACTTTCTAAGGGAGAGGCAAAGCATTTTTATTAGCATACTTAAGGACATAACTGAGTACCAACCAAGACTGGATGAGAATACCTAAGAAAGATTTTCCCTTTCAATTTTGTGGCTCTGTAAGCCAGTAGCAATGATAAGAAAGATCAAGAAAGATCTTTGAAGAATCTCTGAAGAACCATGTGGAAAAGCGGGTGAGCAGGAGAACAAATCCATCACAGAAAAGTTAGGATCAGACTCTCTGGTTCAAATTATCAGGTTATCAGTGAGTTTTACAAAGGAACAAGACAAAGCGTAACTAAGCAATATAGGTAAACTTGGTGATTGGCACATATGTAAGAGATATACATGTATTTTTTCATACCAACATATTGATAAGGCACTTCTTTAAATACATTCTCAGTCCAATCTGCAAAAGGGAATCCAATATTGTGCTAGTAGCATACAGTATCTCCAGGATAGAATACAATGTCATTCACCCATCAGCAATATCCTTGAACCCTAACATCTTAACTAGCAAAGCTGGTTGAAGAGCTGAAAAACAGTTTTATAGGAAATTTCAAGGTTCTTTCCATTTTTCAGGTCTGAAGTGGAATTGATTACCAATTTACATGACACAGCCCTACATTAAATTGACCTTAAGGGCAGGGTTGGAGCCCCTTCTGTTTATCACCTTTTATTTGTACTTTGCAGCAACATGAGTATGGTACTTGCTCTTTGTATTTCTGGCAGCCCTATTAAAGCCACCCTTTGTTATTGGTTTGGTTTTGTGAATGTGTATGGGAACCCACTGAGGACTATATTCTGAAGGGCCTACTGTTAGAGTGTCTACTGTGCTGGTCTCCAGTTGTGTGGTATACCAAGTCTGACAATCCAACTAGAGCAGGGGTATCAAACACACAGCCTATGGACTGGATCCAGCCCACACAACCATTCCATCTGGCCTCACAGTAGTCCAGTGGGCTACTGGAAGTTGAGGAGTGTGGCCACTGAACCATGCCCTGCCATAGAATGCGGGGACCCTGATGGACATTGCCATCAGCAACAGAGGGGCGAGTGACAGCTGTGCAGTTATGGGCCCTGGACCCGTGGTGCTGCCTGCTCCCGGACCCATGCTGTTCCCCCATCAGTGGTGCAGCCTGCTCCCCTACCTGCACAGGCGCCCAGTTCCCCAACCTGTGCTGCCACCCACTCCACTACCCTCGCTGCCACTCAATGTCCAGCTCATACTCTTGCTCAATCCCAGACCTTCTCTGTCAATGCCAGACCCACTGCAGCTGCTGGCTCCATGGATCCCACCCAGGAAGCTGGTTCCAGTTTGTGGCCAGGGATGAGTTTGACACCTCTGATCTTGAGGACTGGAACAGCACAGCATGCACAGCTGTCCCTCACACTGGGCCCAGCTGCAGTAAAACCACTGTTTCATAAACAGATGCAGCTTTAAATTATGTATGTTCAACCACTGGATTTTCTTCTGCAGGTGGAAGTGTAATGCCAGAACACCCAAGGAAGAGCTGGGGTATAACTGAGTAACGACCCAAAGTAATTTGTCTGCAATTTGAGAGGACTGGATTTTTATCTCATACTGGGCATATCTACATGACATTCCTCATCATCTGTTACCATCATGGCATAATTTCTGAAACAACAACACTCCAACCCTCATTTTATGTTAAAATTTTCGGATTGAAAATATACTTCTAAAAGGGCTCCACCACCCTGCTTCTTTGGACTTACCACTGACCCAGGAAGCCAGGCACAGAGAAAACCCGGTATACTGTCCCACACAAGTGCTCCTAGTGCAGAGAACCCTGGTAGTGCTCAGAAAGCAGATGAGGCTGTTGGTCTCTGATGCTTATTTTTTATGTCCCCTTACTGCCTTTCCTGTAACTGTCTGTGAGCGCTGTACTGTCATATTAATCCATAATTCTTTCAGTGTACTGAGATAATTCACCTAGAAAAGCAGAGGACTTTGCTACTGCTACCAGAACTGTTCCAAGTGTCATTTAAATTTCTCCCTATTCATTCAGGCTTAATCTTGGTGCTTTTTGATGGGGTTTTTTTTTTAATGTTGGGGTGGGGGGGAGGAGGAAGGGGAGGGTCTGAATAAAGTTTTTCAGAATTTTTTTTTCCTTATTGTTATACAGCTCAAGTTTTCACCCCAAACATGGGGCAGGCAAGTATACATGTTTATGTGATCCAGATTAAGAGAGTCATCCAAAACAAGAAGTGGATTTCCAGTTGTATGCTCTATGGATTTGGAATGATTTCAACTTCACAGCTAGCCTTTTCTCTGTAATAGATTGGATCAAAATCCAGGAATCTAGCACAAGTCTCCATAGCTTGAATTTTTTTTGGAACAGTTCAAATCCAGCTGGATGGACACACATATATCAACATTTCTTCTTGCCCTGCTCCAAATATTATTTTCTAGAGATGGCCTACAAACTGAGGGAGAAAGTTAATCAGACACCTGAAATTCCAGTCTTAGAAGCATTGTACAAGCTGCTCATCCTCAACATTGCTCCATTTAAAGTTATTTATTTAATTATAGTGAATAAATTTCTTATGCAAATGAGAAAGCATCCAACTTTGAGTGAGTTATAACCTAGTTACATTTGCTAGCAATAACGTGATATAGTGGCAAATAAGCAGAACAGTTTGTTTCACACACATGCTTGGTAACAATGTCCCAGCCCCAGTGGTTTTAACTGGCACATACCTTAGAGCTGCACTTGTACAATGGATGACTGATCGAATCGACATAATGGTGCCTCATACAGCGACCTGGGTCAGAGTCAATCATGAATGAACTGTCTGTTTTACTGTCTGTATCTCCCATTATTGCCAGAAGGGATAACATGGAAATGGAAGCTGCCAGTACATGATTTCCCATTGTTGAAGAACTTCTCAGTAATAACAGCAGAGGGAGTTAAAGTATTAAAAAACCTCCAAACAACAAGATCCAGCTCCTTTGAAGTACATTGAAAAATCTGGTTTAAATCTCTTGGTTGTCATTGTTCTTTTTGAGTTAGAGTTTGCTGAAGTTGTAATCCATCACAGACTCTCTTCCATAGCTGGAATAAAAACAATATAAATTACAATCCTGACCAAAAAGAGCTCTTGAGAAAAACAGACATAAATAATAACAAGGCTCTTAGGATTTGTCTTAGCCAAAATACACTCACTGAGTGAACATCATTCCCACAGTAGGTACAGTATATGGGATTAGGAAAGAGGAGGTCAAGGCCTCGTTACTTTAAGCACTGCTCTATCATTCTAATAATGAAGATTTTTTTAATGTTGCATGTGCTGTGATGCCAGTGTTTTTTACTTGATAATATCTCCAGCGGGTACACTTCAACATTGATGATTTGTAGCGCATCTGAGGATGTCTGCAAATTAAAAGAATTGCATATTCACTTAAAATACTGAAAGGCATGTTCCAAGGGACTAGGATAAACTATCTTTTTCATTAAAGATGGAATTTCTGGATCAGGTAACAAGTGAGAATGGATTTGGTGGTCTCATCCCAGTCTCTAGTGGTTCTATATCTCTATCACCAAGACATCACACAGTTTGGAACGAATGACAGCCTCTGCTCAGAAGAGGCCTGTTAATCAAATGGAAGGGCAAGCCAAGGTGAGGTACATTAGAAGTGTGCTCACTAAGGAAATTTGCAGAGCACCTATCCACATTTATTTTATCTCCAACTAGTGTTCTTAGTACCTCACTTTCTTGAATACCAGTCACCCACAGAAAGGTTTACAATGACAATTTTGACACACCTGCTCATCAGCTTGCACTTCCTGAATTTCCTTCTCTCCATCATTAATGAAAGGGCAGGACCTGAAAAAAATACATTATATACCATAATATGCAAGTACATCCCAGTTAGCCACTGGAAGTACAAATTTGCCGATGAAGTCACACAGATTGCCACATTAGTCATCTGGATTTCAGGTGCACATTAGAAACTGCGGGGGGTCCCAAGGATGAAAGAACACCAAGCAGCCATCACAACTGGAGCTCTGCTCCAACAAGGAAAGTCCCGCACTTCCCTAAATGTCTTTATCACAATCCCTTGATAGCTCTGTTATGAAGATACATGGCCTTAAACTAGCCATGTGTAATCTTATATTCACTACTAACAGATGCAGTTTGAGGGAACTTTAAATTACTGGCCTAAACATAACTTTAGAAGGCAAAGTAACGTGTTAAGCATGGTTGAAAAGTAGATTAACTTGCTGAACGTGCATAGCAAACTTATGATAACATATATTTAATACAAACAAAGTTGATGCTTATTTAATAAGATGATGCAGTTTTATGGACTAACATAAGCTCCCTTCGTTGATGTCTTCTGCCTTGCTGGCAATATTTTATACAGACTGCTTTCATCTCTAATGTGGAATACAGTGAAGAGGCCTCAGAATGCCATAACCCAGTGGTTTGTATCTAGCCTTGTACCTTGCTCTCACACTTTGGTAAGACAAAAAGGAAAGTACAGATGAACAGTAAGCTCTTCCTCAGTTGATACAAGTTTGGACTAAACATTTTTTAGGCAGAATCTTGATATTAAGAAGTTTTTGCATTGGAGGAAATGTAATTCTTAATGTAAAAAATAGTAGTCATATTATTTTTGTATTAGAGGTAAGTAAATAATGCTTCTTGAGTTTCAGAGTACCATTTACTGGCTAACAGGGAAAGAAAATGTTAACTTGTATGTTACAGATGGTAAACCCTTCCTTGATTTGGGCTATTGCCTTGATATGTTTCCCAAACAAATGTTTTTCAGCTATAGAGAAATTATATTGAAAAGGAGGTATTGTACATAAACGGTAAACATTTTAAAAAACCTGAGGTATTTAGGAACTCAGATCTAGTTATGAACTCTCCTAGTGGTGTCAATGAAATATTCTTCTACAATTTATCAGGCTATGACAGAAATTCTCCACCCAAAGAAATCAAGCTGATCTCTGTCAAGATTAGGATTGTTAGTTATTAGCTATATAAAATATTGTTAGTTAATAGCTATAGCTCTGCCTTTTTCCTTCCAGCTCATCTCTCCTTTATAAAATATCTAACCAATTGAGCACTCTTGTCAGTCTCGCTCTGACATAATTAATTAGTACTACCCACCCAGAAATTCCCCCTTTTTCAAAATACATTTCTCTCTAACACAAGCTCCAGTTCATAGCCCCAGTAATTATATGCTTAGAGATTCTCAGTTTCTGTTTTATATCTCTCAACATATATGTCCCCTCTAAAATCTGGATTCTTGTATCTTCAAATACATTTGCCTGGTATACTGGTTGAAATGAATAGAGCTAGGTGCATTCTGAAGTTTTGGCTTGCTTTCATCTTATTTTTAAGTAATTTTTAAGAAATGGAGGACATAGAGTCTGATTAATGAAATTGCCTCTCATTGTAAACTAGTGCCATATAAAGAAGCAAGGTTGGACAGGCGAAATAGGTTTGCCTCTCATTTCCTGTACCCATAAGTATACCATGGAATCCATGAAAAGGTAACATGGCTTCTCAGGTTCTAACACTGTAAGGTCATTATACTGAGAAAAGACTGTGCTAGCATGTGCTGCTCTCAGACAATTACTTTACATGTTTTGGGGTACAAGGCATGTGCAATGGATGAGCATGCGTCACAGCAGTGTTTGCTAGTCTGATCTGAAAGTGTCGTAGACATGCCGTAAGAATGGGAAGAGGGAAGAGACTAACTTATGGGGTCTTGGCAATACATCTCCAATGAGACAAAAGGACAGAATAAAAATCTTGCATTTTATTAGGTGAGAGAGATCTTTGATAAAAATATAGACTACATTTTCAAAAATGTGTGTTCAGTTGTCTGCACATAAAGTGGCGATCTAAATTTAAATGTAGAAGTACAATGACTGCACACACAATTGTGGTAATTGCACATATAAACAACTTCTTATTTATCTATGCAGTTGCATGCACACTTTTCTAATGTGTGTATGCATATATTTTTGTATATATGTATGCAACTGCACAGATAAATAAGAAGTTATTTATACATGCAATTACCATGACTTCGTGCGTGTGTGCAATCATGGTACCTCTAGGTTCAAACTCATCTTGCTAGTTTATGAAGACACCTGAACAGACACACATGAGCTGTTTGGAAAATGGATTTTGTCTGAATAGAACATATAGGCATTTAGAAATTACTTTCTATTCCAGATCAAAATGAAAAATCAAAACATTAAAAATCTTACATAAAACATTCTGAAAAAGATTCGGTTCAGAAACATCAAATTGATTCAACACATAAAATGTTCTTTTTCATTGCAACTCACATTCTAAAAAGATGTATTCTATTTGAAACTGACTTCCCACAATAAAAAAAAAAGTGCATTCCCTTCAACATATTGTTCATAATGAAATGTTGATGTTTCACTTCTCCTAATCAGAAAATTGGGGGGGGGGGAGTGACATGACAAAATTGTCACATGGCAAAAATTCTATTAAAGTTAAATGCTTGGAGCATGCCTAATTTACACTGGGCACATCTACACATGTCGCTATGGTGATGTTGTTACTGTGCAAGATGTGGTACTTCCAAAGGAAGTGTGATCCTTTGGAAATACTAAATTATGGCACAAAAACAGCCTGTACTGTGCTGTACGAGTAAAACACAGTTATTTTTAGCAGCTACTTTGCCATAGCGGTGTACTATACCAGAGGAGTGTGTCGCTACTGCAAAGTAGCTGCTGGTCAAATGTAGACGCCTGTGGATGCTACATCACCATAGTGCATTGCTATGACGACATAGCATCACATGTAGATATACCCACTGAGAGCACTAAGTTTATCTCAAAGATGGTGCTAGGGTGTCTGTCTTATTTGGTCCTAGGTCTTCTATGTGGTGCTCACCCACACAGAAGACCTAGGTTCATGGCCTTCCTCAGCCTGGGGAGACTCATACCTATATCTCTTACTTCTCAGGAGAGTGCCGCAACTGTTGAATTATAAAACAGGCTGAGTCATAGCACCCTTCCCCCTCTCTTATTGAAGCCGAGACATTGGGCAGCTGCCAAAAAACTGCATGAGCTATGGGGCCAGAAAGAGAACAAGCAAAAAGGAGAACACCTTGGTAGCTCTGTGAAGAAAGTGACTCCTGGGAAAAATAAAGTTCTGGGATCATGCCCCTACTCCCAGGAGTGTTTATGTGTTTTATGTTAGAAGGTCATTGGACAAAACCCAGAAATAACTCTGGGAGCAAGGACTAGAACCCTAAATGAATGCCCTTGCTATGATTTGGGATTCTTTGGCAAGATGGCATGATTTTATGAGATCTAGAAGAGAATATCCTTTCTTCTGTATAATTGGAAAGTGCACAAGACTGAGTAATCCTCCGGGAATCTGTAGGAGTTGCACAGCTTTTATCTTGCAAGATGTGAAGGGAATGAGGCAAGGACTCATTTATTGGGTAGTTCAGGAGAGTTTTCCATTGTACAGCTAAATTAGTCATGCACATATGTACCGCTTGGCTTTTTTAAGTGTGTATTTTAAAAGCTTGAGAAAACTTCCTGCCAAAGGTAGGTGCAATTCAGTTCGTTCAATGTGTTCTATGTTTTAAAAGCTGCCAAAACCCAGCCAGAGAAGCAGTGTATAAATATATAGCTCTGCCTTGCATGTTGTGTATATTTAGTAAACATGATTATTTGGATCCCACCCTTCCCATGTGGTTCCTTCATTTTGTCTTTATTATGTAAACAGGAAAAGATACAACACTGCTCAGCCTTACAACATTGCAGCTGTAAAAATGTGTCACAAAATTCTTATGACAAAATAATATATGGCTCACTGTGCTTGTTCTCCAAAATGCTGACGTGACTATTTTAAAAGATACTTGGGCAAGTTTACCAAGCCTTAAAAAGTTTAGACCAAAGCGATTAAAGTTTTGGGAAGCTACTCAAATCTGGGTTAGAATGGAAATGTTTATTCATTCTCAACTATAAGTTATTCCTTGCTATATTATTGCAATGAGATGCCTGTTAAACTATATTATCAAGTAGAATAAACTATATTATTCCGTCCTTTAGGTAAAATTTGCCATTCCTGTGAAAATGACAACTAAATTCATTTGGGTTAGTGAGCCATGAGCCATCTCTACACAATACATTTACTGGGCCTGGCTACAGTGCCCTCTAACATGTAAACTGTGTAGCTGGGTACTTGCCTTACCAAGGGCAGGCTGATTGGGACTGGGGAGGAGTCATTGGCAGTGTCACTCACTAGCCCTAAAGCAGTGAGTGTGCTACTGTGAGCCCCAGTAAGCCTGGCTGCCATGTAGACATGACCATCAATGTTCAGAAACCGGAGGGATGGAATTCCCTTCCAATCCAGCAGAAGGGAAGTAGTAGCTCACTACATTCCTATAAGCAGGAAAAATGGTTAGTGCTTTTACACAGGTGATGGACCTGCAGAGCAGGCACCTCTACTATTCTCCCCACAGTGAGGAACCATGGACTCAGTTCTTTTCAGAGTTCCTGTTTACAGCTTCTCTGGACCTGTCTATATCATGATAGCAGTGGGTAATGAGGAGGGTGGGAATGAGCACATTCCACACATCTCATTCCACTGACATGATCCAAAGTCATACATTTGCCCACAAGGCTGCTTTGGGCTTATCCCCCTTGCCTACTCTTGAACCCTCAGTGTTCAATGGATCTGAAAGCAGGTGCTGGAGACAATTTCAGAGTAGTCTCATGGGTGAACTTCTATTTCGGAAATGGGTCAGCAAGCTCAAGTGGGTAGTAAGTGCTCAGTCCCATCCTCTGCAAGACCCAACATAGGCTTGCTATAGA